ACAGTAAAGCATAAATACTCAAGCTCCTGGCTATTTTTCAGTATTTGAACACTGTTTCTAATCTAGACGACAATAGTCTTCGTTTTATGGGGAATCTAATGGTATGTCTTGATAAAAATCGTAATTCCCGATTCAGACTACTATAGTGAAGGTGCTAATTGTGAGAAGACTAATTGTGAGAAGATCCCCAAATAATCAATCCTCCTTCTATTGATTGTTCATTCCTTTGGGAAAGAAAAGAGTGTGCGTTTAACCCTTCAAGGTCATAATAACACATTCATCGTTGGACTACATACGGCTCCTGTCTCTTGTGTCATCTGCCACGCCACTCGGTGTCCATTCTTCTCTAATTCATCCCCTATCTCAATCGTTTGTAGTTTTTTTGTTCATCATTCTTGTTCCTCTACAACCTTTTCAATATTTCAGAGCAACTGAAAATGATTCTATCCAAGTATCCGGGGTTGATCCAAAACGAAATACTTCAAAACATGAAATTATCAGATTTATTTCTACTTTCTTTTGTCTCTAAAGGTATGAAAAAATTGATCAAACCTTCACAAAACAGAAGATTGAAAAGTATCAATTCAATTGTGTATGCCGCTGATGGAAGAAACCCTTTAAGTGCGTTTATTCCTCGCAAACCGTATGACGACATTCTAATGATATTTGAAGAATTCGAGGAGACGGGAATTCCCGATTTTCAGCTGAACGTATCTGGGACGATAATTGACTTCCGGTGAGTTACAATAAAAAATATATCATGAAAGTGTTATTATTCCAGATTATGTACAAGAGCGCGTAATAAAACGTTTCGCTTACCCGAAAATGAATTCCATCCATATCCTGTGGCATGTGTTCCCAAATCTGACAGAGAATCTGTAATCGAATCGGTCCATAATTATTTTCTTGATTTCTTCGGAAGTTCTTTGCAGTATTATTGGAAAGGAGACGAGATGATAGACTTACATTATTATATTCCTACCCAACTGCAAAACGTGTCATTTTGTACTTTTATGTTCTTCGGATCTAGCGTTGCGAACACCCAAAAACTTGAAAACTTTTTCTCCTCTTCCCCCGTTTTGAAATCGGTTCAACTGTTTTTTTGGAATTCAGAGATATCAATCAAGTCGGAATCCAAATTTTATCAGGCAGAATCCGTCGACATTGAACAGTCCGACAACACTTCTGCTGATATTTTGAATCATTTCCAAGGCAAACAGGCATTTATGAGATGCAAGAAATGCAAAATATGGGATTTGATCAACTTCGTGAAAAGATGGAAATCCGGAAAAGCCTTTCGCAAACTCGAATACTTGAAAGTAACAGTATCATTGCACGAATTTAACCAAATTATAATGCAGAATATAATTGGGGTAAAATATATTGATGCAAACAAACAACCACCAACGCACACTTTGCCTCAAGTGTAAGTTGTTTTTCCATTGTTGTATACAAAACAGATTCATTTTTGGGATAGCTCTGAATTAAGCAAAAGAAATAATTTTTCAGATTCCATTGGGATAATGTTATCGGTGATACGGATCCAATCATAAGCCACTCATATGTGGTTAGACAATCGGATAACCGTGTGGCATCGATTCTAATTCAAGGGAAGACGTTCAGTTTTGGAGCCTGGGGCAAAACAGAAGAGGAGTTTTTGAGAATGGTTAATTAACATGTTTCCTAAAAATTGGTGTATTTGTTTAGATATTTATCGAGCCCTTGTCATTTTTTATTGCTTCATTTTCTGGTAAAGCTTATTGAACTAGAAAATACGGTTCTGGTTATGTTTCTAATGTGTGACAGTTTACACAATTTTCTTATTTTATCAAAGCGTAATCACTACATAAAATATAGGGTTAGGCAATCCGACGGACCCTCTCCCAGAAAAAAAAATTTCTGAAGTTCTGTAAACCCTGAATCGTTTCTCCTAACCTGCAAACTTCAACCAGATTTCTAAATTGAAAATCTTATTGTTATTTAACCGTGATAAAAAATTATAAAAGAAATCTGCGAGGTAAAAATATTTTCAAAGAAAAAAGTAAATTTTTTAATTTCTCTAACTACGTGAATTAGTTTAGAAACCCACGACACTAGATGCCCCATTAACCTCATTGAGAGTACTATAAAGGAAAAGTAAAATGAAGGGAAGAATCAGTTCTCTCTTTCTCTGAACTCCAGAGATGGGAGTCGGAGAAGGGCTCAAAGAGCCTGGGGCCTGGGGCCTGGGGCCTGGGGCCTGGGGCCTGGGGCCGGCTTTGTAATGGTTGAGAAACTGGATATGGAGCAAGCTGAAATGCTGGCGTAGGATCTAGAAACAAGTTTACGGTTATGAAGGAAGCTGCTGTGAAGTTCAAGATAATTTGTTCAACTCTTGGAACTGAAATCAGGCAATTCGTGCAGTGAGGTGACCCACGAGATGCACGATCGTTTGGAGCGTTCCTGCTGATGGTTCAGACTGAAAATAAGGAAATTAATGAAAAACTGAAAAATATATTATGAAACGCCAATTTCTGGTTTTTGTGATACGGAACAATTTTTTTTCATCTTGTTTCCAAACTGTTCAATAATCTATAGTGGTTGTTGGCAATGATGGTAGCACGCAAAAAGAGAAACTGTGAAAATCAAGGAAATCAACTTTTGCGCTTTTGTTCTGAACTTTCCGTTTTTTTTCAATAAGCTCTTGAAACATATGCACACATGAGGAGATGTGGGAATTTGAGGTCGCGAAAAATGACCTGGAAAAAGTGGTCGCGAAAAAAAGAAATTTCCCGAAAGGAAATTTTTTTTCACGATAATTGAAATAATTGTGTCAAAAAAAAATGGAAATTATATATACACAATTATTTTTCCAGATTATATATACACAATTATTTTTACCGATTTTAAATTAGCAACAGTAATCTAGGCGAAAATTCGTCTGAAACTCGTATAAGGAGGCAAAAAACGTAGGTCGCGAATGTTCTAGTCGTATTTGTCGTCGAAAAATATTTAGAATAAAAAAAATCGCGACCTAAAAGGGCGAATTTTTCGACTGAAACGACATTTGGGAAATCGGTACAGTAATCAAGGCAAAAATTCGGCCAAAACTGGTATTAGGAGGCAAAAAACATAGGTCGCGGCTATTATATTCGTGTTTCTCATCGAAAAATATTCAGTTTCAAAAAAAATCAAGCTGAAGCACGCATTTTTTCCACCAAACCACTCATTGGGAAAAGTGCCATTTTCCAATTGAAAATACACTGTGTCCGGCGAGCATTTCCCAAATGATATTTCTATGCGAATTAGGTCGCGAATTTGTTTTAAATGGTGTCCCAGCAGTTGTTGTTTACGAAACTGTTTTAAACAGTTTGCGTAACTTATGTGAAACGTGTGTAATATCGACGAGTTGCGTGGTGCGCGCTTCCTCCTCAAACTTCAATGAAGGGGAGGTGCGGAGCGACCGTTTCTCTGCGTCTCTTCTGAGCGCTGTTGTGTATTGTCGGATTAAAAAAAGGGACACCTGAAAATCTCGGAGACGGCTCTCGTGTCGATTTACGAGGGGGCGGAGCGAAAACGGATACTGTAGATAACAAATTTATTTATGTGAATTTCGCTAGCATCTCTAGAATCTATTTTTCAGCAAAAAACTAAACTTAAACGCGAAAGTAGCTCGAACGAGGCGAAAATCTGAAATATTACGTTTTTGCCGCACTTTTTCGTAGATCAAAAAAAGCAAAAGTTTTCAAATTCTCAGGTGTCACTTTTTTTAATTCGACAATATAGCGCGGGCGTCTGGTAATGGGAGGCCGCTGGTTCGAGGAAAGTTTACGAATTGTAAAACATATTCTGGCGACCTTTTTTTTGGTCGTCAGGTTGCGAAAATTCGGAAAGTTTTAGGTCGCGAAAATAAGTTTTTTTTGGAAGAAAATAAGTTTTTTTTGCTGCATATGTGAACCATAGTTGCAAAAGGCCGGTCCGGGCCGGCAGACGAGTTTTCTCGGGCCGGCCCGCCTATCACTGTTCAAAATTTTCCAATGAAAATTTGGGAAATTTTTTTTGAATTAAAAAGGAAAAAAGGTTGCATTACTCAACAAAATTAACAAAGTATGAAATAGTCGAAAAATAGGTCGTTTTTGTCTAAATTTTTGAAAAAATTTCGAAAAAAATTCAAAAAAAAATGTCTGTAGGTACCCCGGGCCGGCCCGAGATTTTGCAACTATGGTGTGAACATATGGAAATGAATTGTTCCTCTAGGGAAAGCTACGCGAAACAGAAATAAAAATTCAAGAATACGTCACATGTTTTTTGAAAGTAACTGAAAATAAAAACATAATGTTTCACAGTTTTGCTATATATGTACCAATTTAGCTGACTTGGATTATTTGAACGCTGGTGGTACAATATTTAAGCTGAACGTTTAGGAGTTCGTTGATTTAACATGTGCTTCTACAATTACAAAATTCATGGTAGTTGCGATATATTCAAAGACCCGTTTAGTGAAAAAAAAGTGCAAAACAGGAATTAAAGTAAGAACAAAGCAGCTACAGCAACAACGATATAAATAGAGGTACAAAATGAAGAAGCATCATCGAAAAATCTTCTCGTTGTAGTGACTATATCAGGTCCAATGATTCGAGGGACTGTGCAGCAACAGTTGTCTGGAAAAAAATTGTTTTTTAATTTAAAAAAGTTAATTATGAAAATAAGTAAAAAACACTCACTAACACAAACAGCATTAGAGCTGTATGGAGTACACTGATAATCAGCTTGGCAGCCAACGTTGATTTTGAAACCTCCATTTATGCAAACTGGATACATGTTGCATGCTGAAAACGTTAAAATTTCAACAAAAAAATTGACTACAAACAAATAAGCAACTTACGAAACTCTGAATAAAATCTATACGGGTCTGATCCACAAATGTATTGGTATCTTCCTTGAACTGAATTTCCCAAAAGTTCTTGTTGCGAAATTAGTTGAGCAAAGTTGGAATCGAAAACAACGGAAAATAGTAGGAAAAATAGTTTCATGGCTTCCTAGTTTCTGTTCTGTTTGAGAATTGAAAAACGGGCGATTTGAGGTGGGAACACTGGCGTGATGACAATGACTGTTAGCTCAGCTGGTGCGATGGGGGATAGAAAGAATGATGATGAAAAGGGATAAAATGTCTGTTGTTTTGGGGGAATGTGGTTGGAGTTTTCGGGAAAAAGTACGAAAGTTTGAATTATGAATCATTGAAAGTTTTTTCAATTGTGTATTTCTTTCATTGGGAAATCTGTGGCATGAAATTGAAAATTACAGTAAACATTCTAAAAGAATTTCATCCAAACCTTCAACGTTGAGCCCAAATATCTCATTCCCTGTAAAAGATATCAAAAAGTAATCAACAGACAAAGTGTTACTGATAGTATGATGAACATTCTACCAGTTAACCACTTTTGGATTTCTTTCACAGGGACCGAGATAAATTGGCTCTAAGCTGACAGTATGTGTTGCATGGTTTTTGGAGTAGCAGTATTCATTTTGACCTGATGGTTCAGACTGTAGGCCCACGACATCAGCTCCTCGAGAGGCGTACTTAAACGAAAATTTGAGAAAATTATTTTTTTCATGTTCCCCAACCTTTCAGAGGATTTTGGAAAACATATTTCGCTGTCGGAACGAATCAACACTGAAACGTCGAAAAACATTGTATCAACTTTTGGAAACCGTAATTTTTTTTCGGAAAATTGATAAACTTCAAAGTCTTTTAGGAATTGGTCCCTTGGAAATCTTCAAAACTCTCTAATTCTCAAAATATTCAATTCCCAATTGTTTCGTTTCGTTCCTCATAAACCCATTCTTCTCTATCTTCTTGTTTCAATTTCCTCCTCACAAACTCTTCTCAATTCATCATTTTCTCGGACGAATCTTGTTCCTATCGGAATGTCTTCTTTCATTGCGCCATCTTTGGTGTCCCCTCCGCTCTTTCACTCAAAATGGGAGCAACGAAAAAGATTTATGAGTGTTTGAAGAAAAGAAAAAGGAACCGACTTGAAATTGAGATAAGAGGGGAGGAACAAGAAATGAGCCACTTGCTCACCCATAATTAATGAGAGTTTCGAAAACTGGTGCTTTGAGTTGGGCTTCAAGTGAAAAATGATTGGAAAAAGAGATTGGAGATAGGATAGAAAAGATGTAAGTTTAGATTTATAAATGAATTGCGAAAAGTTTTACTACGGTATTCCCACTAGACGAGCGGCACCGCTTGGAGCTCAATTATCTCAGTTCATATAAGAGTTATCAAAATTGTGTCCACTGATAAAATGTAGCTGGCAATTGTGTCAACTGATAAAATGTAGCTCACATTTCATTAGTTGACAAAATCATAGCACCTGAGATAATAATTAAAAGTTCAACTACCGTAAAACTTGCATGAAATAGGCCCCTAACTTTTAACTTTGAGCCAATTTTTCTCGATTCCTGTGGAAGATATGAAAAAGGTGACAACTGATAAATTGTTTATCATAATATCACAAACACTTTATCAGTTGACATAATTTTGACATATCTTATAGGAACCAAGATAATTGAGCACAAACTTGACCGTGGTGGGGCTTTTCTATTACAGGTTCTACGAAAACTGAGTTTTTGAATTTTTTCGATGTTCTTTTATTTCCAGAATAGTCTGATATTTTTTCCTTGAGATTTTATAACTTATTTCAATCGAGTCAATCAATTCAATATCAGATTCCTTATTGTTCTCTTCAAACAGTTTCGAGATTTTGAAACCGAAAAAATGCTGTCAATACCGTAACCTTGGACCCCTCAAACATTCCGATTCAGTCCTTCTCCTCAAAACTTTCAAAATTCACGCAAAACCAAAACCAAAATTTCGAAACCCACTTATTTCGAATTGATTAGAACACACCAAAGGGGGCCACCGTCGTCTTCTTTTGACATTTTCTAATCCCCCGACGATGTTTCGGAGAGAGAAATAGTGTAGATAATGGAGAAATGCTGAGGAAAATATTACGACACACATTTCTGGGCTCTTGACTTTTGATTTTCAGTGGAATTAGTGAAAAGTTCGGGAAGAAGGAAGAAGACCCACTCGGAAACAAGTCAAGTGGTTCTAGTTTTGGAACTTTAGGAAAGTTTCAATGTCCCAAATTTTTTAAACTGTTTTCTCATGTTTTGATAATAAGTGTGAAGTTCTCAAGATTGTTCTTTTTTCTTCACGAAGTCTACATATTAAAAAATATACAAAAATTCATTATTGCGACGACCGAATAGAGCATACACCGATGGACCAGAATCAACAAAGAGACGTAGGGAAAAATAATAATTACAGACAAAAAAATATCAAAATTGGTTCATAGAACTCAGGCATTCATTGGGGCAGGGGTTGAAAAGTGCGTTACCGGTTTTTTGTTGAAAAATAAAACATGGAGCAAAATGAAGAAATCATTGATTTCGATGAAAAAAGATACCCATAAAGGAAACGACGTAGAATCTACAGTTGAGGAGAATTTCTAGGGAGAAATAATTTGCGGGAAAGCTGACAAGAATCTTTCTAGAACCATCACAGCGTCGGGTCGTCCCATGACTCGGAGGGTTTGAAGAAGATCGGGTACGGCACGAGCTGATCCGGATGATGATGCTTCCCAAAGATCCAGAAGAAGAGAGGTTGGAGAACATTCCGGGAATGAGGCGAAGAACTGAAAAATGGGAAGCATTAAATTAAGCTTTTTGAATCCGGAGTTTAGAAAAACTTCTGTTTTTTTTCTGTTTCAGAAATTTGTTTTTTTTGTGTTAATCTGTCATAAAACTACTTTTTCCAATCTGACCTGAAATTATTTTTACTCACCTGTAAATATCGATCATAATGCAATTTCTTAGCCAATCCCCGCCAATCCGAATGCGACTCATTTGGCATATCGAGAAGTCTTGCGAGCTCATCCTTCACTCCAAATGGCAATCGAAACTCCACACAAACGGATCCCTTCTCCCTTTCTTCACTCGTAGCATCATATAAATCTGGCTCATTGCTCACTTCCATTACCATTGGCTCCGTGGAGCTGGCCTTCTGATAAACTATGACTCTTGTTGAGAATGGAGGAGGATTGTGCTCCTTGGGTCGGAATTTCAATGAGCAATGGAGGCCATTTTGAGCAACCCATCTGTGTTGTGTCTCGGATATCTCCACGACTTCAGGACCTTCACACGTGAATCCAGGAATGACGTCTTCAATGCAGATGCACAAGTTGCCTTTCTCGTTCAGAATGAAGTCAAAGGATTCGCATAAGAGTCGAGAGCCATCCTCTTGTTTCCATACACTCTCCATTGCTGCTCCAGTCTCTGGTACACAATAAACTCTCAATTCAAACGATCTTCGGTACGATGACATTTCCATTGGACCAAATACAGCAAGATGCACTCTTTTAGAAGCACTCAATGAATTTCTTCTCGGGTGTCCAGCTAACATAAGTCTTGCCAGTGAATTCGTCATAACGTGGCACCAACCGAAACCATCATTCTTTTTTCCAGGTTGCTCGAATTGTACGAACATGTTGGTATTCAAAGTTTCCTCTCCGATAGTTACAGCTTTTTGCCATCCAGCTCCTTCATCAGTGTACAAAGTGAACTGCCAGTTGTCACGTGGAAAAGTGGAAGCACAGTGACGGAATGAAACGACTACAGGGCGGCGGAGAATGTTGTCATGGTGGCAGGAAGACATGGAGACGTCACATTGACCAATCACGATAACAGGGGAAAGAGCAGATTCGAGAGCTGAAAATTAACTTTTTTATTGAACATCTTGAATCCATCAACTTACGTGGCAAGTGTGGTTGATCACTCAATGTATCCGATACAGCCAAATACAACATCTTCTCTCCATCCACTGTCAACTCTGGCACTATCAGCCTTGCTCCACTTTTCGACAGAGACAATCGCGCTCCATTGCTATCAATTTGTGCGGCAACGATATTTTGAGTAGTGTCCAATCCCAATACACTTTTATCCTCCATGTAATCATACAACGTTGCGTAGTTATCATCATCCGAGCAGTTGGAACTAGAGGTTCTGAGAATCGTTCGTTTTCCTCCGCCTGATCCAGAACTACTAGAACTGCATTCTTGAATCAGGGCGGCTCGAGATCCAGCGTTTCTTGTAGACGAGTATCCACTGAATGCACTTTTTCCAGATCTTAGCGTAGTTGAGTGAGGAAGTGGGGGTGGAGGTTCGAAGTATTGTGAACAAGACGATATTTTCTCTCCTAGTAGTGTCCCATGTTGATGTTCCAGTAGAAGACGTCGTACGCCCGGGGGTTCAGAGTAGTAGATTCCTCCAGATTTTTCAGGTGTCATTTTCAAAGTTTTACTGGATCTCGACTTCTTTCCGCCACGTTTACAGCAGAACATTGCAAGGATGGCAAGGATAAATGAGGCAACTATGAAGATAGAAGCAACGGATCCATAGACAGCGGTGTCGCTGATCACAATTCGGGATGAGTCCGCGGTGCAGAGTCTGGAAAATACATTTTTTTTTCATTACTATTTCAATAAGTTTTAAATTGAATAAAAAACTAACTTAGGCTAGTTATATCTAAACATTCTGTTGATCACATTAAAAATCTGCATCATCAGTAAATGTATTCTTATTTCTCTAATTATTCATTACTGTTTCAATAAGGTTTAAATTGACTAAAATAATCACTATTCTTAATAATTACTACTATTTTGAAGTTGTAAACGCACTGTGACGGGCACTCTTGTGTCATCAAGTCATCCCCAAAACACGGTTGCCCTCCATTCATCGGTGGTGGTACTGTACATGCTCGTGTCCTAAACCGATGACAACTCGAAGAGCAAGCACTCCATTCGCCCCATGAGCTCCATCCTCCATCCAATTTACACGGCACTTTGCAGTTCCTTGTCATCTCTTCTTCTCCTTTACAGTACTCTCCACCGTTCAGCGGTGCCGGATTATTACAGGTTCGCGTTCGTCTCTGATGTGGTAGGACTGATTGTGGGTCGCGGATCCGATGAGCGTGTTGACGGAGCAGAGGGCAATCCACGTGGCACGTTCCGATCCACGGTGACCATTCGGACCAACCGCCATCGACTGGAAAATCAATGAATTATGATTGGGTTTTGGTTTTTAAATATTTTTAAAAAAAATTTGAATGTAAGTACCAACATTTAACTTTGAGTCAATTTATCTCGATTCCTGTGAAAGATATCAAAAAGTTGTCAACTGATAAATTGTTTATCATGGTATCACAAACACTTTATCAATTGACATATTTTTGATTTTTTGCACAGGAGACAAGAAAAGTCAGCTCAAACGTCACAGTGTGGGGGCCCTATACAGAATTCAACACTTCTATGTTATTGTAAGAATCCATTTCAATATTTTTTAACTTAAAATTTACATTAAAAAGTTACTAATCTAAAACGTTTCAAAAGGGTGGAAAGTATGAATTGAACTATTTCTATAAACTTAGTTTTTCACCAAGATATGAAACATGATAATTTGAAAAAAAACGTTTTGTGAAATATAGTTTTTTTAATGTTTGGAAACCCCTAAATCAAAAAATCCTAGAATTCGCTAAATACTTTTCTATCAAAAACAAAAGAAATCCAACCGACAAAGGTTATTACCCAATATTGTCCCCCCCGGGCCTAGTTGTAAATCCCCCTCTAAAAAGAAAGGTACGGTCTCTCTATATCTAAAAAGGTGACAATGACTCTTTGACTCCTCTTCTAAACAACAAAAGAATCGACACGAGTCATCTGCCACACAGAACAACTTATGTAATAGGGTGTCCCTTTCTTTCTCCTGTTCCCAATCTTTTCAAATGTGCCGCCCCAGGTCGTTTTGCACATTCAGGCTCCTCTGACTACTTTTTTTCGTTTCGGAAGAGTCGCAATTACATAACATCGTTCCTCCTATCTTCTTCTCCTCCTCCTTATGATCTTGTTTCATATAAAAAATGTTCAGTTTGGTGGGAGGATCTATGTAACATAAGAAAATAGGTACTTCTGTGAACTAGTGTCATGTCAGAATGGGTTTGGGAGAAATGGGGTGTGAAGGACGTTCTAGCGTTTTTGAAGTGACGAAAAATATATATTACGAGGTGGTAAGACATAAACTGGTTTACTTAGATCCCTAAATACGCTTCCGAGTGATCCGGCAAATTGACAATAATTAGATAAGCCTAGTGGAACAGTAAACTTTCAAAAATGTATACCGTATTTGCTCTAATAGAGGCCCACTCTACTTTGAGTTCAATTATCTCGGTTCCTATAAGATATACAAACGTTTTTTCAACTGATAAAATATTGCTGATATCATGATAAATAATTTCATCATTGAAAATTTTTCGCCATGTTTTATAGCAGCCGAAATAATTGAGCTTAAAGTGTGCGCTTGCCAACCGATGTACGCTTGCCTACTGATTCTCTATTACAAAACTCTTACCATAAATCTGTACTTCCACTGGATCTGTCCTCCTGGAATTCGCCACATTCGTCGCTTCACATGTATAATTTCCACTGTCCGATAACCGGGCCGCGGACATAATTAAACTACCATCGGATGCTCTGATAACATTGGCATCTGGCTGAACGACGACACCATCTTTATACCAGGTGAGCTGCAAGAAAATTGGGCTTAAATTGTTCCGTTCATTGCGTCACATGGAAGATGAGGAGAATGGGGAGGGGGATAATGGAATTACATAATCACATTCGAAGAAGACACTTGGCTCATTAAGTCTATGCCCATGGTGTGCTCTATTTGACCAGATGTTTCTCAGATTTCACTTGGTTTCCCGCACCACACACCTGCTGTTATTGTGGAAAAGGAAACATGTGTGATTTGAGGAGAAAGAAAGTGAAACCGGAGGAATACAAATTTTTATGTTCCTGGTGTGGATCCAGATCAGGGGGCTAGGGTCTAAAAGGTTCAGAATACTTTTCAGAAGGCGTATAAAGTGGAAATTCATGAAACTAGATTCAGAAGACTCACTTCTGCTTTCGGATCGGATTCTGGGGCTTGACAAGGAAGTTGAAGTGTGGTTCCCTCTTGTACCCGTTGCGCGACGGGTGATTTGAGAAAGTGCTTTCGCATATCTGAAAAAAATACATTTTGTGATAAGATGAAGACTGACAAATAGGAAAAAAAGTCGAGCATTTAATTTTTTTTATTTAAAAAAAGTCGAGCATTAATTTTAGGATGTTTAGGTTGATTGGTGAGCTAGGATTGGTATTGAACTACCCTTAAGCCTGTATTAGAAGGGTCCTCCGGAAGAACCTCGGAACAATATAAGGTCAAGCCCTTCTAATACAGGTTTTGCCAAAGTACAAAGAAAAACTGTAAAATAATAAATTGAACAATTTTGATGCAGCATACACGAACGAAATATCTCAATGAAATAATACCAAAAAATTATGTCAACTATGAAACCGAGAAAAATTTTTGGTCCCTTTTTCGTTCCCTTTTCTCAAAATTTCATTTATCCCAAAACCCGAAAATATACACATAAAAGAGTTCCCCGCCCTTTTCAAAAAGCACCCTAGAAATCGGGCCTGATTGGGATAGAGGGAGTGAGCATTCACGTTTTTCAAGTGGTTTCTTCCCTCTGAAGACCTCGTTAGACTTGTTGGTCCTAAGAAACTCTAATTGTTGACAGAGTTACGCAACATTCATAGAGTCCCAACCGCTCGGAACATTCAACAGATCGAGATAAAATCGGATTACCACACAGAAAGAGTTCCATACGAAGGAATGAGCGATGAGCGATGATTATGGGTGGGTGATGACGTCGGTTGGGTACGGTTGTTAGAGATTGGAATCGCTTTGTTATGGGAACATATGGATGGTATGACGTGGCAACGGAAATAGCGGATAAGTAGTGGATAAGTGGAGTTATGTAATAGCGAGACAATAGGTCAAGTCGCTAATCACACAAAGGATTACGGTAGCAGGATACAAGTTTGAAAACATAGCTATCACTTGAGAACGTTCTACCGGCCTAATGACCCTGTAGCTTCTGTGGCTCTTACGCACTAGTTTTTCAAACTACAAACCTTCAGTTAGGTTTCTCATGTGGAAAATTTAAATTTCGCTACCTAGGAGTAACTCGAAACCTCAAAAAGTTTCCAACTTTCCACATAACTCTCGAATTTCTGAACACGGATTCGCTAGTTCACCCAGAATTTCCGGGGGTAGCGTATATAGGAACAAACAACGCATGGACAATGTGTGAGTGTGTATTAATACAAATTTGGGTTGAGTTCAAACAATAAGAAGAAGAAGACGAAGAATAGGTTGTTGGATTCAGAAGAAAGTGTTCGTCGGGGAGTAATTGGCAACACTTACACGTTTCGCGCAAGAAAATAAAAATATTAATAAGTGTGTGGGATGGTCATCATAAGTGAAATATGAATATGAATTAGAAGAGAGATCAAGGAGAAAAGCCTTTTGTGAAAATCCGACTATTTGAATAACAGGGAGGAGAAGAGTGGATCAACAGAGTGGATCGAGCTCAATTATCTCGGTTCCTATGAGAGATAACGAAAATTTGTTAACTGATAAAATTTTTGTCATGATATCAGCAATTTGTTATCAATTGACCCAGTTTTGATATCTCTTATAAAAATTGGGATAATTGAGCTCAAAGTGCACATAATGGTTTGGCTTCTATTAGAGTAAATATGGAAATTTGTTCTGTGCTTAACTAATGTTAAGTCTACTGTAATAATGAGACCATCGCTAGAAAATTTCTGATAGTGAAAATATTTCTAAATAGAGAATTACAACATCGAATTTTTATAGTGCTTCTACTAAAAATGTGAAGTTGAAACTTTAAAATTGGATTCCTCAAATTATTAATCGTCTGCGGGAACAATACCAAAACCCACTTTACACGCCATGTACGTTGGTAACTAATTGTTATCACCTCAGATCACTTTAATGATTTCCTTGAAACATTATATAACTCTTATCACTCCCAATTGCATAATGTATTGCACCCTGGGAGACTATAGATACCATTCAGGGGGTCCCCTATTCAAACATCTCAATGTTACTGCTCTATTACGTAGTACATATTCACCTGTACTAGCTGGTGTCATTGTTGACTTATCATGTCATTTATACTGGACGAAGGGCTGCTGCTGCTGTATCAACCTGACCTTTTTGGGGGTCCGAAAAGGAGAGGCAAACAGGAAGAGGGCGGCTCTTTTAGAAGAGGTAAGCGTTGTAAGCAGGCACACACAGATATCATATACACATTTGAAAAATAATATACCCCTTTGAGCCTAAAAGGTTTTGGGATTCTGATAGGCGAACCCGAACCCCAAAAAGAACGGAAATTACAATGCATAATAATACATATAAAAACCGGGGACATATGTGTCAAACACTTGCGCATCTAGTAGACAGCATGTTCATTGAATATTGAACACTCCCCAGAAAAGAAGGAGAGAACTATATTTGTACTATATTTACTATATTTGTTCGTTTAGGGTGGAGTAACTTGATCTCGGTGTGTTCAATTTTGGAGTCAGTTTGGAGAGAGTATCATGAGAAATGGCAAAAGTCAGGGGAAAAGGTTTTCGGGGTGAAAAAGTTAGGGGGAATTGAGAAGAGGAGAAGGGGGGATTATGGAAATTTCATGGGAGAGTGGAGGAATGGATTTAAAAGTTTCGGTTTCAAGAGTTCCATAGAGGAGTTTGATGGAATTCGGGAAACAATCGTAATAAGTTTCTTTGAGGACTAAAATTTGGAAGGTTCAATTTTCAAACAAATTTGAATTTTTAAACATCAGAACTTCTATCAAAAAAAATTCTGTTTCAAAATATTGGTTTATTAAAATTTTATAGTAATTTTTTGATAAAGACCCAAAAAAAGGTCAATAAAAACCCGAATTTTAAAGCATTAGAAATTTTTATAATTAAAAATATTGAAAATTACTAAACTCAATAAAAAATTACACAAATTCAAAGATTGCAAAATAACCGTAGAGCTCTGTCTACAGCTATGAAAATGTCAGTTCAAGATTTTCCAAACAAAACAAAAAATTCGTTTATCAGAATTTTTATCAAAAAAAAATACTGTTACAAAATATAGATTAATTGAAATTTCATAATAATTTTCTGATGGTTTTCCGAATATTGTGGATCCAAAAAAAAATATTTTGAAGCATTTGAATTTTTATAATTCATGATTTCCCAAACAAATTCGGAAACTGAAATAACATAATTATTATCAAAAATTTACCGTTTCAAAATATAGATTAATTGATATTTTAAAAGTAAATTTCTAATGATTTTTCTGAAACATTTGTATCTTCAAAAAAGTTAAATTTGGTAGCACTTGAATTTTTATGAATCGAGCAAGTTTAGAAATTGTCAAAAATTACAGTTTCTATTTTGTTTGAGATATGAAGTCTGAAAAATAAGACTATTATGACTCTTGCAGAATGAAGTGGTGGTTTTATGAATGATACAAAAAGTTAAGTATACCAATATTTGAAAATCCCTATTTTTTAAATTCATAATAAAAATTCCCACAAAACTTATAAGGCGGTATCCAATCAAAAAGAGTACTTAATTTGAACTTTCCAATCAAAAACACAAAAAAGGTGCCGAAAAACAAGCCCACCTGCACCTACCCCCAAAGACCATCCACAAAAAAAATAACAAAAGAGAAAAAGAGGCGTGAAAAGAAGACCTCCTACTCCTCCCGTTCTCTTTGGATGACCCGGGTGTCATTGTTGGGTGGAAAAGTGGGCGGAGTCTGATGGATGAGGCGAGGATACTAGAGGAGGGATCGAAAGAAACAAAAACATTGGAACAGGTAAATGCACACACAGACTGTCATAAAGTTTATGATAGGTGGTGGACCAAGAAGAAAAAACAATGCTGGTCTGGGAAAAAAACTGTTTGGTAGGGGGGAAATGTCAAATTATGATGGACACTGGGGAGAAAGAGAGCAATTAGGTGGGCAAATAGTGAGAAGAGAAAATTGGTAGCAAATGTCAGAATGATGTGGCAAATCAGTGACAAGTTGGGAAACTGTTAGTTTCGGGTATTTCTTGGAGTTTTGAAAACGTTTATGCCGATAATAGGAGAGTTTTGGATTTTTTAAACTTTCAAAATATAGGGATGCCGGAAGAGTTTATTATAGTTCAAACATTTTTTCTGTTTTCAAAAGTGCATTTTAGATCGAAGTCCAAAGTCAAACTTGTTTCCTTTAGATTTTTATATGAATCAAAAAGTAAAAATTATATTACCGTATCACTCTAATAGAATGCCTTTCAATCTTTGACTTTCTACACTTTGAGCTTAATTATCTCGGTTCCTGTAAGCGATAACAAAAATGTGTCAACTGATGAAATATTTTTGATAGTACAATGAAAATTTCGTCAGTTGACTACTTTTTGATGTCTATTCTAGGAACCGAGATAATTGAGCTCAAAGTTGATAGTTTAGATGGGCTTCTGTTAGAGGAAGTACAGCGATTCTGAGTTTTTTTTCTGTTTCCAAAATTGCATTTCAGAATGAAGTCTAAAGTCAAAACTGTTTGTTGCACGCATCAAATGGCAATTAATTTACCGATTTACTCTTGATTAACGATTTTTTTTCTGATTTCAGATGAATTTTAGAGCTAAAAACTTTTAACCCCTCTACCTTAAATCCGACTTTCCCATAATACCAAAAAGTATAAACACCGTAATTTGCGCGAGATTCTAACTGTAATAGATAATCTAAACAAATCGCCTGTCATCAATACCAATTATATAAACAAATCACCACTCAATGTGAATATCGTGCCAAAAAAACATACAAATACTAAACAGATGAGTGCCCCATTTCCAAGACCCCTAATTCCCCAGAGAGTTGTTTTCTCGAACAATTGTATGCAAATTTGCGTTTCGAAAATGGAAAAGTGCATGTTTGAAGATGTCCTACAGATAGCGTCTTTTAGTAGATACATCAATTTTGCTCCGTTTCCCCAAACGCCCGTTCTTCTTGTTTTATCAATTGCGCAATCTTTTATACGGCCATTGGGTCATGCAAAAAGAATAAGAAGAACATGGAATGGCATAGGAGAAGACGTGACTGAAGAAAAAGAGGAATGAACGATGAGTATCGTTCCTCTTCTCTCATAACTTTTGACACGGCCATGTCGGCTTTATGGCCCAAACGATGGACAGGAGAGGGAAGGTTATGGATTTACACGGTTGATAAAAAAAGAACCACTGACTAGAATCTAAAGAGGAAATGGAATAAAAAGATTAAGGCTCTCAAACTTAGACCAACCAGCTGAAACGGACAAGAATATTCCGAAATAGAGAATTAGCAAATAAGAACTTTGTTTAGGCTACTTTGCTTAGCAGTAAAATTTTCAGAAATTTAAAGAAATGCTTAAAATCAGAATAGTATACCGAAAAAACTCTAATAGAAGGTCACCCTATACTTGCTAGTTTGAGCTCCAATATCTCAATTCCTATAAGAGATATCAAGAAGTTGTCAAATGAGAAAATGTTTCTGGTTAAATTACCTACATTAACGGGATAAGGTGAAATGTTTTAAAAATAAGATATATCATTATTAGGTGCTGATTTTTACCCAGTTAAGTCATATTAAAATAACAGAAATATTGGAATATCCCTTCATGAGCATGTTACATTTCTAGCCTTCTCGAAACAGCAAAAATGTTCCGAAAATTCGTAAAATTCTTGTCCAAGTTTTATACATTCTGAACAGTACATTTGGTGGAAAAATATGTACAAAATATTTTGAAGAAAAATGGTGATGAGAGACGCAGAGAGACATTTGTAGTAGGGGGGAAAGTACAAAAGAATTCAATTAGCTCTCTTTTCTACACGGGCGGTGACGACGCTAGGAAAAATAATAAGTACCAGGAAAATCGAAAAGTTTACAGTTTCAAATAGTTATTAGACTCAGTGAAGTTTTTGGAAGCATCAATCAGAGGTAATCAGGGCGTAGCAGAATTTTGAATTGAAAATTTCACAATAATTACAGTTTCTGAGATTTGACAACATCTGTACAGTGATTTCAAACTTATTGAGTTTTCCTCTTCTTTTGAGTTAAAATTCAAGAAACAAATGAAATCTCTAAATTTTTGAATACTCAATGCACAGAAACAGTGAGTAGACGCCAACTGGTGTTCTTCCTCTTCTTCTTCTTATTTTTCTTCTTCTCTTTCCTGCGCAGAGTCAGGTACTGAGAGATGGGATAAATCACCAGAAGATTTGGCATGCCGATGATAGATCATTGGATTCGGAGAGACGCAGACAACGTCTCACAACAAACATTTAGCTATTAATCAGGTGAGAAGGAAGAAGGGCGAAATCAGAAGAAAGGTTGGGAGAGGAAAGAGAAAGATGGGTCAAATGTCAAGTTGTGTACATAAATTTATGAATTTCACACCTGACAATTGACATGCAAAGTATGACAAAGTAAGTATGGAAAAGGTGCAACGATAGGGCTAATTCTAAAAATATTATGAAAACTTTTTGAAACAGCAAAAAATTACACTTTCGTAATATTAGCAGATTCGATATATGAAAACAGACAGAGATCCGAAGTCGAACAGAAATGAAGTTTTACAATCCCCAACCATTTCAAATAGCGAATTATCATTGTAAATTCAACATTTCAAACCTAGTCAAAAGTTCAAGATATTTCCCTGTTTCAAATACTCCAAAAAATTCCGAAAAAACTAGACCAACTACTAGGTTCTACTGTTTCGAGTGAACTCACATGCAAGATGTACTGTAGCGATATCCGAAGCAACAACGTCTTGATCGTCGTCAGCCGAAGCGTAGCACTGACACTGAAAGGCGTCGACGTGCCCAGAAGTGTCAACGTCGATTCTGGAAATGTCGACGGAGGCGTCAACGTAGCCAACTCCAGATGTTGAGTCGGTTCCGATTTGTTTCTCGACACGCGAGTCGTCGATCTGGAAGAATGGAAGATTGGAGAGAAGATATTTGCGTTTTCAGAACATGAAGTATAGGTGAAATATAAAAACTCTAATAGTAGCAGATGTCAATTTTGAGTCAATTTGTCTCGGTTCCTGTGACAGATATCAAAAAGTGGTCAACTGACAAAACGTTCATCTTAATATTAAAAATATTTTGCTAGTTGACTACTTTTTAATATATTTTGCAGAAAACGAATAATATTGGGTCCAAACCGGGATATGTACTGCTTTGAAGCTAACTTGTTGGCAAACTAGGACTCATCGAAACAGAAAAATTTGAAATTTGATAAATCTCAAAGGCACGTTTGGAAAGGATTGCCTGGCTACTCGTTGACGCAAAAACTAAAAAATCTGTTTAATGATTGAGGTTACAGAGCAGGAAGCATAGGTGAAATATTGAGACTTAAATAATAAACAGTGTCAACTTTGAGGCAGTTTATCTCATTTCCTGTAAAAGATATCGAAACGTTGTCGACTAACAAAACGTTCATCATAATTTTTTCCAAAATGTTTTATCAATTGATACCTTTTTGATGCCTTTTACAGGGAACGAGAGAAATTCGGTAAATTTTACGGTTCGGTACTATCAAATTTTCAAAAAACTGTATCTTCCATAGCTCCCATCGCTTTGAAACTAGCTCGTTGCCAAACTAAGAGTCATCGAAACAGAAAAACTTGGAAATTGTTAAATCTCCAGTCGGCATATTTAGAAACAGTTGTTTGACTACTCGTCCTTTAAAAATCCTATTTACGATACTAAAAAATCGAGAAGGAATGGTTTTGGAGAGAAAAAGCATAATATTCGAGGTTTCAGAACAGAATGTCAACTTTGATCCAATTTGTCTCGCTTCCTGTAGAAGATATCAAAGAGTAGTTAACTGGAAAACGTTCTTCATAAGATCAAACTTTTTTGTCAATTGACAATCTTTTGTTATCTTTCACAGCAAACGAGATAAACTTGGTCAACAAAGACTGTCACCTCCTGTGAAGATTTTTACGTTGCTAGTCAGCTTCGCTATCACTCAAACTAACGACTCCCGGACATTTCGTAGCCTCTGATAACGTCAGAAAATCAGATTTCCAAGTTCTTCGGTTTTGAAAAAAAGTATATTTTAATGACAGAAATTGAATTTTCGAAGAATTCGGCTGAAAAAAAAATCAAATTTCAGCTGAAAAAATAGCAAGCAAGTATTCAATCAATTGAAAACTGCTAAGTCTTCAATTTTATGATATTTTTTAGAATTTCTTTTTTTTTCTTCTAGAATCCCAACTGTCTAAAATCTTAAATTTTAAAAAGAAATTCTGAATAACAATAAAGATTTAGCATTTTTCAATTGATTGAATACTTGCTTGCTATTTTTTCAGCTGAAATTTGATTTTTTTTTTCAGCCGAATTCTTCGAAAATTCAATTTCTGACATTAAAATATACTTTTTTTCAAAACCGAAGAACTTGGAATTCTGATTTTCTGACGTTATCAGAGGCTGCGAAATGTCAGGCTGCGAAATGTTTGGCTGTGAAATGTCCGGCTGCGAAATGTCTGGCTGCGAAATGTCTGGCTGCGAAATGTCCGGCTACGAAATGTCGCGGCTGCGAAATTGCCGGTTGCGAAACGTCCGGGAGCCAAACTAACAGCTTAAAGACTAAATGGTTGCCAAACTAGGACTTATTGAAACAGAAAAAACTTGTTTTTAAACTATGATATTTCTTCAATTTAAGAATTGTGCAAGATTAGAAAGGAAAGGACCGCTAAACTACATGCTCCTCGAAAAAACTAACGAAAAATCCAAGGTAATACGAAAACTAAAAAATCCAGCAAAAATATGTTTTGTTTTAGTTTTTGCTGGTTCTAGTTCCTTCCCTTCCCTAGGAAAATGGGGTGGTCGGCTCTCGAGGAGGATAATTATAAGGTTTCTTTTTATTTCGCTTGCTCCTTTCAAATCGTCCATGTATTATTTTTGTGTTTCTATATTTTTTTTGCTGCAAGAATTTAGGAGGCTGAGGGGAAATGAAAAAAAAAAGTTTAGGTACATCAAGATAACTGCAGAAAAAAAATCTAAAAATGAGCTCTCATAATTATGACATATTGAAACAGAAAATGTTCAAAATGAAAGCTTTTTGTACGAAAAAACCCAATCCTCCTCCCTCAAAAAATAAAAATGAAAACCGATTGGCGGTATATCTTGTGGTTCTTTTTCACAAAGGATATGAGCCCAACGAGAAAAAACGAGCTATTTCTCTTCTGAGAGAGTGAGCAATCCACGAGAATTCCTGACTCTTTTCACTTTGATTTATGAGGTGTATGAATGCCGAATTGGTTTCTCCTGGTACAAAAAAGGACATTTTTGTGTGGACATTGAGTAAAAAGTGACTAACGGAAATGATTGGAAACTGTCAGAGATGACGTGGCAAAGTTGGTGGTAACAGTAGCGAAAAAGGGGAAACGGATTGAAAAACGAGGGGAAGGAATTGATAGAATTAGAATTGGTTCACTGGTTTCAAGGGGGTAGCGGCTTTTAGAGTGATGAGCTTGAGTAAACATTTTTGGGACAGCAACTAATGACCGTGTAGAAAATTTGAAAATTGAAAGACCATAGAAATCCGTAAAACAGTGAATTTTGAAAAATTGAAAATCTTGGAAAAGGTTTTTCCTCGGATTTGAAAAATAGATTAGAGATGTATTTAAAGCAACACCAGAAGCGCAAAACAAAAATGTGTGCTTATTTCAGAAAAATATGTAACCGAAATTTCATTTTTCTTTTTTGCAGAATTTTGAAAAAAGTTATCAAAATGGCTCAAACAATTTCCGAATCCCCAGATACCGAACAAGATCCAATAGAAGCCATCCTATACTTCGTGAACTTTGAGATCAATTCGGTTCCTATGAGAGGTATCAAAATTCTGTCAACTGATAAAATGAAGATAATATTATGATAAATAATTTATTAGTTGCACATTTTCAGATATCTTCCAAAGGAACTGAGATAATTGAGCTCCAAGTGAACATATAGGGTGGGATCCTATTAGAGCATTTACGGTAAGGGAATTTAGCATGTTTGTGAAACCATAGAACTCCTGATTTTGAGATTTGTATCAATAAATTCGAATGAATCTTAGCTGAAATTTTCAGCAAAAATTTGGCAAATTGGAAAATACGAATGTCACATGAAACGCGAAAGTATTGTATTCACTTATTTGAGAAAAATGTGGAACTGAAAACTTTTCAACTTTTTTTCTAGCCCTTTTTTGAATTCCAGTTTCATCTATAAGATTTTGCTAAAATATTTTAATTGCTTTGTTCTTTCTTTTTGCACAAATTCAAAGTTTCAGAAACTTTTAAAGAAGACTACAATTGTTTCGACAATAATGACTTATTAAAATATTTTTTCAACTTCTTCAAAATTTTCAGTTTCAGAAAGCTATTAAAAGTTAAAACTTGATTACAATTTTACTAAAGGGACCATATCAGTAGTTAAGCTGAAAAAAACTATAAGAAATCGTATTGTCTTTAGAAATCAGCACGTTTTGGGAGCTTCTAATTTCAAAACCATGTTTTTTAACATTAAAATGCATCCATTTTATCAAAAGATGAAGATAAAAACTGGCTAACCCCTCAAAATTTTCATCAAACCCTCTCATCTATCTCAAAATTCATTGAAGATTACAAACAGTTTCCCTTTCAAAACGACCCAAAAATCAGTTGACCCGTATCATATCCAACCTCATAATCTCCCGAATTCAAAACTTTTTGAAAAACCATGTGAAAATTGAAAAGAAAGACAAAAATGAAAAGGAGGGGTAAATGAAATGAATCACTATTCCCTATCTCCCGTTGGGTATTGTTCGTATGCAAATCGGTCATCGTTCTCTCTCTTTTTCCTGTCTTCTTCTGTTTCTATCTGAACGGACATGAATCGAATGAGACAGAAGAGAGAGAATCAGTTGACATCAAGTCATCAGCATAATCATTCGGTAGATGAGTAGATCATTCGACAATAATACCCGCATAACCATTGATAATCAAGGGAGGACTAGGAGAGAATAGAGAAAAAAGAGTTAATATCAGGTAAAATAATTTAGCTTTAATGTTTTATATGAAACAGAAGCTTAATGTAGCCGAAATTTATTTATCAAGTAGAGCTATGTACCTCTCTATTAGACATATTTATACCGTGAAACCTGTAATAGAAGGGACTCCACACGTTGATGTTCAAGCTAATTTATCTTGGCTCCTATGCAAGATATCAAAGTTTTGTCAAATGAAAAAATGTTTGTGGTGTTATGACACACAATTTCTCAGTTGATCACTTTTTTATATCTTTGACAAGAACCGAGATAAAAAAGTTAAAATTTGGTATGAAGTCATTGTATTAGAGGCTCTACCGTAAAGCGAAATCTTTTATCTCGAACCATTTTCAGCACAAATAAGGCAGAACTACTAATCACTAGAGTTCAAAATTAATATAAAAACCACTAGAAACGGTTAAAAAATGTTCGCTAATTTTTCCGGGAGCACAATAAAAACCGTAACTAATTTGTTTACCACTTCCGGCACTAAATGGTTTCTTTATTTCTATTACCGCCTTCCCATTCTACCTCAAAAGAAATCATCGGCAGTCCTTCTATTTCTCAAGTGTTTTTGGAACCCTCTTTACCTATCTATCCAAGGACTCCCTCCTTTTGTCTCCTTTTTTCTTCTAACACATGTTGGATACCCACCGGTCAGTATTGGGATTTGTATACACTTTCTTTTCTTGACACTTTGTTGAGAAATACATCCAGTGTAAACAGTTTCCAGATGTTTCAATTCGAGGAGATAATGCACAAATATCCCTTCTGATCAAAAAGTGTATACACATTTATAATGTGATGATGACACTGAGAAAAAAAAGAGATTTGTGTCGGATGGAACCCAGAATTGAAAAAGGTTCCAAAGGTTCTAAGGGTGTACTTGTAATCTAATGGAATGGGGTTCGTTCGTGTCGGGTTGTACCCGGTGGGAAATTGAGAGCAAGTCTTGTCCAACTTTTTTTGTTTCGAATTGGAACATTTGGAACATTTGGAGAAAATGGGAAAGTTGAATTGGAACAATGTTGAGTTTAACAAAATTTGAACGATTTTATGGAAAGGTTTTCTGTTCGAAAATATTTTCACCAGCAGAAGGATTTCCCAAAATTGGAAATCCTTACATCAACAAAGAATTATATTTGAAACCGGAAAAACTCAAGCCCAACATTCCTTTTTTCGAAAAATTGAAAAATGTGTTTTGAAAAAAAAATTGAAGTACAACCTTTTGTTTAGAGAACCAGAAATTCCAGAAAAAAACTCCTGAATTTTAATTCTGATGACTGTGATATTATTCTAGGTCAAAAAAATTGGAGCTGTAGAAGAGCAACGCCGGTGGACGTGGCCGAAGGTCCCTACTATAGTAACCTAAAAATGTTATTATTTTAGCGATTTTTTTCACTGCTTTTCGTCAATTTGTCTGCGTTTTTTCACCAAAAAAAGTAGGAAAATAAAATTTTTGATAGTGACTGAAAACGCACGAAAATTGAAATAATAAATCCGGAAAATAAACATATTGTAGGTTACGGTAGTTGGGACCTTCAGCCACGACCACCGGTGTTTTTCTTCCAGAGCTCAACTTTTTATACCTTGTACCATTATATTCGATCGCTTAAAAAACTGAAAAAACCTTCCAATAACAAAATTTGTGGAATATTTGAAACCGAAAACTAGTCGAGTTCAAAATTTATTTTTGCATAAACTTGAAAGGCTGATTTTTTGCGGAAAATTTACAAGAAAACGTTTATCCAAAATACCGAAAGTTTCAGAAGATTTCAGAAAATTCCTCAGCTTCCAATTAAAACTTTTATCGATATAGAGACTGAATTACTACTGAAACTTCAGGAAGCATAACAGTTCCTATAAACTTTTCGAAACCGTAAATTAAAAAAAAAAGCATAATTTAAAAATCAACTTTGAAGATCCACTAGAAAGCCAATGAAAAAAGTAATTTTCCGCTTTGGAACTATGCAATTTTTCCCATTTTCAATTATTTCAATCATTCCAAAAAATTTCAGATGATGTCCCAAGCTAAAAAGGAACTCTCACTGAAAATTCTCGAAACATCGAAGTTTGTGGGAGCTTTTGGAATCCGTTAAAATTTTTTTTGAGAAATTGATAACATGATAATTTAGAAAACCCTTGAAGCTCCTATAGAAAATTGGCCAAACTCTCAGCTTCGGGACTACCAAATTATTTCGATTGACACATTAAAAATCAATTTCGCAATTAACAATAACTTTCTGAAACCGCGAAAATTTCAAACTTCTCAGCCCCTAGAACTTTCCTTCAAATATCTAGTCACAAGGATCCTCATCTCTACCTGACCACGCCGTTTGTCATAAACCTTGTCATTTTGCCGTCCTCTACTCATCATAAAATGTTCATTACCGGTCCACTCTCTATCTGTTCTTTCTTTTTTATTCTTTCCGCCTTTTAACTACTGTCTTCTTCTTCTTTAATTTCTCATTTTCGAAATTTCGTTCATCTCGGAACAAGAAATCAAATTCAATCGGAGGATACTCTCGATTTACATAATCTTCAAACCAAATATTATTATAAGGAACTATGTGTATATATGCGGAAAGAGGAAGAAGAAGAAGAAGGTGATAAAGATTAGTGGGCAAATGATGGGCAAACAGAAGAATATGACTTTTTGACTTTTGGCGGTTTGATGACTCAGAGAGAAAAGGGTCCCATGAATCTTTGGGGACACATTTGGAGACAAAATGTTTAGGAAAAAAGATGGATGGAAACTCTTATTGAAGAAAATATTGCGAAATCACAGAACTACCGTAATCCTGGTTTTAGATACTGAGACTATAGATGCAAAGACTAAACGAGAAGTTGAAAATTTAAACTAATTAGTCAAATTTGATGAACTCTCAAAGACTCACCCATTTCGACGAGCATTTGAAGCGAATTTTCGTTGCGTGATTGGCTCGACACTGAAGACGCAATGGCTTGTTTCGAATTACGTAACCGGATTTGGGTTGTGTTGTGATTGTGATTTCGTCCATTACTGCAATAATATGTACCTTAGAGAACGTCCAAATATTATTGTTTTGAAAGAAAAGGATAATAAGAGGTTCTTGTAACAGTAATTTTTGCGAGTGAAACATGCTAGTTTTTTTCAAACTTTATAGTCTCCTAACTTTCAGATTGTATGGTAAAATTGTCAAATATAGGCTTGGTCCGGTCGGTCTGAAGAAACGGAAATCGTAACTTTTTCTCAGAATGCTAATTCAACCATCAAAGCATATGGAAATACCTATGTATGTTTAAAACCTTGGAGCAATCAAAAATCATGTTTTGTGGAGTTTCAGAAATTTTGCTAGAGAAATTGAGCTTTACAGAAACAGGTTAAAAGCATGCATTCCCGAAGCTGATATCCCAAAAAAATTTCCAGAAACTCATGGAGTTTCAAGAACAATCCGAAACAGTAAAAAAAACTAGTTTTTAAAAATCGAAATATTAACAAAATCCTAGAAACATGGAGCAATCAGAAATGATATTTTTTGCAAATTTTTATAAATTTTGTTTGGAAAAATTTGGGGTCAGAAATGTGTTGAAAGTGTCCGTTGTATTAATCAATACTAATGAAAAAATCCTGAAGAAGTAAAAAACGATTTGTAGTACAGTTCTTCTAACAATCGTGATACAGTGATTTTATCAAAAAAAGTCTGCTACTAAACATGAATCGCAGTAATTTTTTAAATTATCTCAACTATAAAATTTTCTTAAATTTTCAAAACCCACAGTTAAAAATAGCAATTTTCGCGGAAAATGATTCAAATTTGCTGAAAAACAGCGGGTCTTACAGAGAAAATACCAAAAACTGGCCATGTAAGAATTTTCGAAATTCACAGAAATGAAGAGAAGAGAGGAACTATTTGTTTTTCAAATTGTTAAGGTTTTTGAACATCTTGAAATAGTAAATAACAACTGTCAGAAAATGAGTGGTAATAAGAACGGAACCATCATTCTCACTTAATTCTTCTGTACTTCTAAAAATCTTGATACAGTAATTTTTTCAATTCATTGTTTTGGTGTCACGAGATAAGGGAAAACCGTATAAATGTTATCTCACTAAACTTGCACAGGTAATGAAACTTTGAAATTAAAAAAAAAAAACTGGAAAAATGGATGTGTGACTTTCTATGTTTGCTTTTGGTTTCTATAGAAGTGGTGCCCTTTTTTACGGGACCGCTTCCGAATAGAATGACTAATTAGTCACCGCAAAAAAGGAGAAGGACCAAGGAGTCAAAAGAAAAAGGTGAGAAGATTCTCGCGTCGTCGGAAAAGAGAAAAGAGAAGAGAAAACGATTAACGGTCATGAAAAGAGAAAACGGGCGTTGCAGCTGTGGAGCAAAGGAGGATTGCTCAGATTTCATAAGGTCCGCTACAGTGCGTTTTTTGATATAGAGTCAGTTATTGAAAGGGAAATTAATTGAGACAAGCTGTTGCGTAACAGATAATAAAAGAGAAAAGACAGAGGTCAGATGAGTTCATGCAGAAAAGTGCAGATTTGGGTTAAGAAAGGGAAAATAAAAATGAAAGGAAAAAGAAAGTGATACAGCTGGAGTTTTCGGTCATAAAATCTGTGCACTGTTTTTAGTTTCTAATTTTCCATACTCAATTTAAATATTATGAAAAAATTCGATGCATAGATTAATCCACAATTTGAAGCAGAAGAAAATTAGTAAATAATTTTAAATTAAATTTAAAGTTTTTTCAAATGATTTCAATTTAAATTTCCAACAAAATATCTGCTGTTTTATCGAAATTTCTGCAACCCACTGGACAATTTTTCAGATGATTTTTAATTCAAATTCCTTCGAATATTCATAAAACTAGAGAAATCCAAGAAATTTCGGGATTATCGAATTTGATGATTTATGTTCTACTAGACAGAGAAAAGTTAAAAGTAGTACAATTTTGAAACCTTGTCTGAAAAAATAACAGTGAAACAGAAAAAATTTGTCCGGAAACAATCTAACAAGAAAGATTCTTGAATTTACTTTTTATCTGAAAAAATATATTACAATTATTTTCAGAACAGGCGTAAGATGGATTCCTGATTTTTGAAGTATTGGAAAGCATTCAGGAAATGTTGGAAAATTTAACTCATATAAAAGACTCAATACTTCTCAATAATTTTTTTTTGAAAAATAACAGAACACAGTAACAGCAAAATATTCTGAATTTCGGTAACAGAAGAGTATCACTATGATACTATGACTTATCGGAATTCTTAAACTTTTTTCCTTGACAACAAAATTTTCAGAAAAAGACTTAATTTTGAACATTACTCCCATATTTTTCCAAAATTTCAGAGAACAACATTCGACATTGTCATTCTTTCTATTAAGATTTGTAAACCTAACAAGAACAATTGATACAGTGAAAAAATTTTAGTTTTTCTAAATTTAAAAAAACCACCATTCTGGTTTTCGATGATTTTCAGTTTCAGATCTTCACTAAATCTCTAATCCCTAAACCTAAAACAGTACATATCGGGAAATGAATAAAACAACAAGTTGGTCCAAACCAAAAAGTAGTATACTACAAAAACAAACAGAGAAAAGAGAGATGGATTGGAGATAAGGAAAACCGAACTGGTGGTCCTTCCTCTTTTCTGCGTCTCTCGCCTTCCCTCATCTCTCTGTTAGCTCCGCCCACCGAAAGGGGGAGGAGTCGGGAAAACGCAAGCCCTCATGGCCACCAATTCGTTTTCTTTGAAAAATGTTGAGAGATTGAAAAAATGGATAAAAAACGAAAAAAAAGTGTTCGGAGAAGGAGGAATTTTTGATGATGGATCGGGGGAAAAACGGAGCCAAGGGAGACCTCATGATGATACGAAAAGAAGAAAAAGAAAGTGAGGAAAAGATGATTGAAAGATGATATTTTTAGAATTTTCGAGGAGAAGAAGCGGAGGAAACTTTCATTCCAGAAAATTGTTACTTTTTTCGTTCAGTTTCTACCAACAGGAAAGAAAATAGAAGAGTATCAATAGTCTGTTTCTATAGAAAAAAGGGGTAGAAAACAAAAATGTTGCTTCTTTGAGCAAATAGAAGAAGAAAATGAGTAATTGTAGGTCGTTCTGATGAACGGAAGAATACCAAATTGTTAGACATATTACCCGCATTTTGTATTTACTTTTTTGGGGAGGATGGTTTGGGAGTGGGGTAACAGAATTTCAGAAGACATTTTGAAGAAAACTAACTAAATGAAATTATTCTTTAAAGGTGGGGGGGGGGGGGTCATGAAAAAATAATGTTCTCGAAATTCTGTTTAAATATGCCCTTCGAGGAGTTGAACTTGTCGAGGCGAGTATTGAAGGTGCGGCGCCGCTACCGACTGATAGTGAGCCATGCGGGCGAAACTGAAGCGGGCGCCTGATTGCATACATAAAGGCGAGGACGACCGCTGTACGCAGAGTGACATTAAGCGTTGTACACCGTTACGGTAGAATGCATACTCTGGCCCCAAAAATCCCCCGTAAAATCTCCTGTCCCCCCACCTTTAATAATTGAAGGATTGACCAATACATCAAATACAAAATTAATAGCTTAAAATTCGAAGGCTATCTGAAACAGAAAAAGTTTTTTTTTCTAATTTTGGGAGAGTTTTTCCTATTCCAAGTAATTTTGAAATGGTGGTCCGGAACATTCGATCTTGGCCGGAAATTCAAAAAACTTTAACATTTTGTGCGCATAGTAGCTACAGTTCAGTATATTAAAGAGTAGTTATATCAAAAAATTTGATGCAAACGATGTGAGACAGGAAATATAGTTATTCAAACAGAAAGGTAAGTTTCCACTAGCATTGAAAACTTATCTGAAACGGAAAATCAAAAAACCTCCTCGAACGGAAAAAATTGGAGATCAAAACTTAGATGTGGACGGACATGAAAAATAAAAAAAATACTGTTCATAAGAGCCTTTTGAGGAGCTGAACTTGTGGTACCAACGTTTAGAGGTGCTGCACGGCTACCTGTAGGATGTCTTTTAAAGTAATGGTACAATTTTTCCAATCCACGTTACACTGAAAAAGTCTTCCAGTTGCACATTTTTCTGGAATATTTGACACGGAAAAAACATCAGCCAATATTTTTTTATAAAAAATGAGGATTTGAACTTGTGGACCTAACGCTGTAGGTGCCGCGCCGCTACCGGCTGAGCTATGGTGGCGCAATCTGAGGTGACCGAACAATGGGTTATATAAAAACACTGAAAACCTTTAGAATGTATACGCTGTCTGCAGAGGATCAAAGAGTTCAAATTAGAATACATTTTCAATAATTGTCTGAAACGGAAAAAATAGAGACAAAACTTTTTAAAAACGTATCGACTTTTTGGAAAGTTCTGCTCTCTTTTTTAGTTCAAAAAACTTAGATTATCAACATAGAACCATTTTATCTCATTTTCTGAGAAGGATATCAAAAATTTGTCAATTGCCAAAATTTTCATCATAACTTTAAAAATATTTTATCAGTTGCCCATCTTTTGATATCTCACATAGAAACCGAGATAAGTATGGTCCCGCTATATAGCATCTTTACCTTCTCCTCGCTCCCATATCAATCACTTTGTCTAGCTAACAAAATCCTCCCCAAAAAAATCCAAAAAAGAGAAATTTGTCGCAGTAGGTGGTCTCTCAGAAGAGATGGGTAAACACCTCCTATTCTGTTTCGATTTGCATAACACCTTTCTGAATTTTTCAATTTTTTCTCTCTCCGAGGTTGTTGTCACCTCTTTTTTGTCGTTCAGGAACTAGTAGAGAAAAGTTTCGATTTCGTCGTTGAAATATACGAAAATATATAAATATTCAAAAGTTGAAAGGGACGAATAGAAAAATGGAGTGAGCGGAGGGGGAACAACTTTTAATCCCGAAGAAGGACCGGGGCCCATTTCAACTGTTATCTGTTCGGGAGATCTTCTTTTGAAGGAGAGCTTCTTTTCCAGAGGGACATATACTTTGAGGGGAATTTTAGAAAAAGGAAGAAGAGGAAGAAAAA